TTGAGAATAGAGAGCGAGGTATAGAAATGTGGACTGGGATGAGAGGTGATTGCAGGACTGGGTTTTTGGGTTGACAATTTTTTTATTAACTGTTAAATTATTAAGCCTATTTGTATTTTTTTTTAAATTTAATTAGACTTGTGTAAGCCATTTATGTGTCACATCAACACATAACAGAATTTTTGACAGAATTATAACAGAAGGACTACATTAATTTGAGACACTTACTTGCGGGATTACATTGATTAGTTTTTAATTTAAAGGGCCATTTTGATGTCGCCGGTCAATTTCAAGGACAATTTGTGAGAAAAATGACTTATGGGGCCCATTTATATGTCACATCAGCACTTAATAGATTTTTTAATAGAATTGTGACATAAGGAGCACATTGATTTTGTGACACGTATTTTCAGATACTGCATTGATTTATTTTTAATTTTAAAGACCATTTTGATGGTGAGGGTCAATTTCATGGACCATTTGTGATAAAAACCTTTATATGTAAAGGTAAAGACCCTTTGGAAAGATAAAGATTGGAAAAGTAGATAGCTAGGGAACGACGGCAGAAAGTTGGAGGAGAAATTAGGCGAGGGCTTAGGAAGGGGAAACCTAAAACAAGTGATACCATATAGTTCCTTTGACTGTATTGATGTCACAATATTACAAATATATAAACAAGTTAACTGCCTTAAGATACAAGTCATTCTAAGCTCACGGAGATTTACAAAACCTAACCCATTAGGATTCTCATATACTAACAAAAACAATAAATAAGTTGTAATAAAAAGAATCTTCGTGCATCTTCAACACGAAGAATCTTTCAGTACGTGCAGTGAGAATCAAAATTAGAATGGATCTAAGTTACCCGGTTTTTAAAAGATCATCTTTTAAAATTTTGAGTAAATTACACAAAATTACCTCAACTATGGGTCGCACCACAATCTCATACATCATGTTTTAAACATTGCAATGTCATATATTGGACTGAAAATAGTGACATCTCATAGATTGGAGCTTCAGTATCATTACAAGGCAAAATGCACGAGACAAGAAAAATACCAAACTGAATTAAAAGAAAAGCTTTCTGGGAGACGGTTTTGATGAAATGGTAGAGGACGACGTTGAGGACTTGAGGGGAAGCGGAATCCCCCTGCTTTCTTGACCCCCTGCAACCTTGTCAAGCAGCCTCGCCGCCTTGGGGTCTGTTAGTAGAGTCTTCTGAAATGACTCTGAAAACCCTGTTGCAATAATAGTCACATGAATCTCTCCGGTGTAGCGGTCATCCACAACAGCCCCAAATATTATGTTTGCAGAAGGATCTGCCAAACTTGTCACGACCTGAAATAATTTACAATAGTTTGCAGACTATATTAGACTAAGGAAATGGAAATGTAAAGGTAGGACAATGCATTCCTCAATATGGGGAATGTATGATGAGAATCCTGAGGAGCTGTTTTGAGCTCGCAAATTACTTTTTCCCTCCATAAAACTGAAGAGAGCACTTTTCAATATTAGTCAAAGCTCTCATTAGATTAAAATGGAAGCAGAAAATTTTCAGGGTCCCCTTCTTCCGTAAAGATTAAAGCATAAAACTCTGATGTTACCTGAGAAACTCTGTTGACTTCCTGCAGGGTTATGTCCTTTCCTCCTGTGATATTATACACAACACCAGTAGCTGATTGAATTGAAGATCCAATCAGAGGAGCTAAAGTTGCCTGTTCAGCTGCTTCTTCTGCACGGTTTTTACTGGAGGAAACACCTACTCCGAGCATTGCAGTTCCTGAGTCTTTCATGACTGCCTTTACATCTGCAAAATCCACATTTACCAGTCCGGGTATCTACATAAAAAGGAAACAGCAGTTTAATTTGCCTGAGATAATCAGAAAAAAAATTGTGGTACTATAATTTAATTCAGTACAAAGAGATGAAAATAAGATTATTCTGAGAACGGGATTAGTTTCAGCATCTTTGTCCTTTTGTATTTGCAAATTATCATGTAGTTCACCAAAGATAATATAATTTATAATAGGGCAAGTCTATAAATCAAAATAGTTCTCCATATATTTGAACTCTGACATGTTTCAGCATCTCAAGATAGCACTTACTGTGATTATGTCAGAAATTCCTTGCACTCCCTGACGTAAAACATCATCAGCAAGAAGGAAAGCATCTTGAAGGGGTGTCTGCTCATCAGCAATATCAAGGAGGCGATCGTTCGGTATCACTATTAGAGTGTCAACATTTTTCTGCAGCTTTTCAATGGCCTCGAATGCCTGGAAGAAGCCAATGAATGCATGTAAGATTACTCCCCAATCCAGAGACTGCATAATGGTGGGGAAATCCAATGATAATAAATTTTAGTTTACTTTCGATTATGTAAACTAAAAAACTTTCAATTATGTTCAGATCTAGGGAACTTGGATATTATTGTAGTTGGACAACTACCGGTAACAGAAGTACTAGGGTCAGTTCCAATTTTGGTTAAATTTTAATTGGTCAAATGTTACTATGATCTTTGATTTTTTTCATTTGCTGTCCTAAATAAATGACTTTAACCAATGTAAAATGCAGTCTCATAAAGCAGGATTAAAAAATACAACATGCCACACCACAGAACAGTTAACTAACAAGATGTGAACGCGAAGTAGTAACTATAAGATCATGGTATCATTCAAATGTCAAAGCATACTTGGGAAGGAAACATTTGTTTTTATACAATTCTGGCAAAGTGCATAAAGCAATTATCAGCAGAGATCCATTTGTGCAGCTACAAAAATTCAAGATATAGATGAGGACCAAACTGACACCTGCCTGCAATGATCTTTTACGCCCTTCAAAGCTGAAAGGGTAGGTAACCACACCAACAGTCAAATAACCCGCCTCTTTGGATATCTGGGCAACAACAGGAGCAGCTCCAGACCCTGTTCCACCGCCCATCCCAGCTGTTATAAAGACAAGATCTGAGCCCTTTAGAGCATTAGAAATAGCCTCCTTTGACTCTTCAGCCGCTTGCTCCCCCAAAAGTGGATTCCCACCAGTACCTGCATCTCTATCAAATCCATTAAAGTCAAAAGGCCTCATAGAAAATACAACAAATCATCACCAGTGATACCACCAGTGATACCATAAACACCAACACTTCAGGTGTAGATACAAAATATGTTACTACACTATAGTATATGAATGCATAAATCATGCCCAACATATATGCACACCCCCATGAAAGATTTTCCCAAATCGAAAGCAGAGTGCCTGACCTAGCCCACGAGTCAAAAGCTCCCCAATCTGCAGCGGGTACTCGGCAGCAGACTGCAAGAGTGCTTGAGAATCCGTGTTTATGGCATAGAAATCAACACCCTAATGTCAAAAGAAGCAGCAAAGCTTCAGGAACCAATTAATTGCAAGTACTTGCCAAAGAATTGCTAGTAGCACGTTCAGAAAAATTCCTCTTTAAGCCTAAATTGCCAATTCTCGACGCCATACTACAGTCGGTTACTCAGAAAAGTCAATCCAGTACCAGCAACAAGTAAAGAAATTTAAATTCTCAGGTTCTTAACAACTAAAAACATATTTGGGTTTGTAAAGTAAACACAATTACAACAACACACTATTGTACTGAACATATTTATTCATATTTACAAATGGGATTCAAACATATTTATGCATAATTCCAATCTCAGTTACACAAACAGAGAGAGAGATAGAGAGAGTACAGGGAAAACCCACATGTAAACCGCTGCCAATCATGCGATTAACGGCATTGTTGCCGCCTCCGCCGACCCCAACTACCTTAATCTTGGCCGATTCCATGGGAGCAAAGGAACAGCTGACAACCCCGAAACGGTGACGCTCCCATGCGCTTCTTCTTTTGCTGTTCAGAGGAATGCACGTTCTGAGGGAAGGCAGTGGCTTGTTGTGGTGGTGAAATGCTGCGGGAATTGAGGACGACGTCGTCGAGATTAGCTCGTTCGGGTTCGTCCATGCAGCCATCGTCGTTTTCGTGTTTGCTTCTCAGTGTCTCACTTTCACAGATATACAAATGGGGGTTTTGGGTTTTTTAGGGTATTACAAAATTAGAAATTGAACCGTTTATGTTAGCAAAAAGTAAAGAAAAATCCCATGCCAAGAAAACCGCATCCAAAACATATAATTATCCAAAACTCAAAGTAAAGATGAACTTAAACTGTGAAACTTAACGTGAATACCTCATATGTAATTATACGATGAAGTAAATCAAATTAGACTTTGGTAACAATCTTTAAAAGTTTTAGGTGAATTGTAAGATTTTTCTTTGTGCATGTGAGGTTGTGTCGCATCAAAATGTTTATATGGAAAAGAATGTTTGTAACCTCATTACAATACACAGGAGTGAAAGTAATAACAATATCCCTCCCATCCTTACCTCCCATCCTTACCTGCATCATTTGTGAGATACAATAATGAAAATAAACAGTATGATACACTGAACCTGTTCCACTTTTATCTCTACCAAAAGTTATCTCTCTCTCACTTTTCTATATTTATAACATAAACAACATTAATAAAAAAAAAAGTTATCACATTTATCTTTCTCAAGGCCCCCAGAAGAGTGACCTCCCGTGACGAGCCCTCCAATTGGTCAGCAATTTTAAGGGAAGAAAAAAGGTGGGCATCGTCTAAACTTCAAAGCTTAGTAACTAACATATTTACAACTCTTGGCTAAGCAACATTAAGAGAACTACGCATGTAAAAGAAAATAATACAAAAGCAAATACATAAACAGTCGATATAGTTCGATGTATGGAGATTTTTTTTGTTAAAACGAGATTCTTTTTGTTAAATTTTATAGCGTAGACTTGTAACTAGAAGCATGACATTGAAACGAGATTCTTTTTGTTAAAGGCAAAGATAAAAGAACCTTGACTATTCAAATGTGAATAATGGGCATCAACTTGAAGGTATCAATGTATCACTTGTAAAGAACCCAGTGCTGAAGATAGTTCAAAATTCATAACTGAGACTTGGCTATAACTTATTCCATTTAACTCATATTTATCCGCTTTTGAATGTCTGACAGTGAATTCTAAAATGAATGAGGGTACATATAACAATTCCAAACAAATTCGACGTTTAAACTCCGACATTTACATACTAATCCAACACCATAAGATACTAAAAACAGTCAATTGGACTAAAACTTGATGTTCTCCGGAAACAATCCATCATCCCACCGGGAAGTAACCAAATGAGGCGATATATATGCTTTTCAAAATGCAACTTCACTCTCCTTCATTTAGAATAGGGACTATGAGCGGTTTCATTTGTGCAAGATACACAATTGCCCACCTAACAAAACCAAAGATTACACAAATATGATGTCAGGTAGATAATTAAACAACTGAATGCAATCTCTCGAGCTACACACTAAGCCAGAAAAAAAATTGATTGATATTCATCGAAGAAACTTCATCCCACGAGAATTACACAGAGAAATCATATCAAAGTTTAGAAAATGCGTAAACTCAAGAGGCACCAATTCATCTAGTCTTTATATCTTTATAGCAAGGCAGGAGCGCAAGAAGGCTGACTCGAATAAGCATTAACTTATCATGATAGTCAATGACAAACTCTAGCAATCACTGCACCACATAACTGTCACCATTGTGCAGTCCAACTAACAAAAGGAATAATGGAGGGGTTTTTTGTTCATTTCACTTGGAAAGATGATAGCCAGCACAAGTACATTACCATGATGTGACACGTTGTCACTGGCATGGGTGGATTGGCTGTTACAATGAGGGAATGACTATACAGGCTAAGTTCTAAGCCCCTCCAAGGAGGATTTTCTGTATGAGGCATCCAATCCATGAGCTACACAATAATATTCTCACTTTTCCCACAATCCAGACGACGACTTTGTGAAGTTTATTTGGACAATAAATTGGAAATAATTCTCTCATCGAGCATAACTGGGTGTTCTGGATCTAGAGTCTGGACCAAAAATCTTATGTTCCACCAACTATTAATTATCAAAAACCTGGTTACTGATGACGAAGAAAAAGATATACGATATATATGTTACAGAAGAACTTACATCATCCAACAGCAGATCGTTGCTGTAATAACCAATGTTAGATGGAACCTGCGTAAGAATATAGCATTCAGTATTTTGCACAACCAAGCATGATTGTATCTTAAAAGAAACTGCAGGGCATTTTCTCAAACCACTCTTACATACTGAATGATAAACTTTCTAGACTGTTATCTTGAACGACGATATCATATTCGTAAGACTACTTATCCTTAAAAATGCTATCACTTTAAACAACATTGGACAATCCGAGCCGAAGGGTCGTGGAGCCCCCCACGTCAGTGGATTAGCTCTAAAGATGATCCCTGGTGGAACGAAGGTTCTGAGTCACATTTACAATTACACATGAATCGGTTAGTTCAACGACAGAAAGTCTCAGTGAACACTTAGAAACCATTGAGACTAGACTACCCAATGATACTTAAAAATTAGCAAATAACTAACTAAACAAGTTTAACCAGTTTGCACACAAGTTCGTGAGTATCGAAAAGCTTGGCTCTTTACATTATGAGAAGCGCATAACTCTCCAACATCAGATATCAACATAAATGAGCAGTGACATAATCAATTTACTTGGAAAATAGTACTTGCAAGCAAAATTACATGAGTAAAAATTCATCAGCTCCCAAATACAAAACATTTTTGGGATCTGCTTGATCAACAAATTCAGAAGCTAGATACGTTTTGGTAAATAAAATAAAAAAAATACAAAACAAAATTTTGAGGGATTTAGAGAGCAAAAAAGTGAAATCGGATGATGGGGAAACTTACAAATTAGCAGAGGGTCCTCTGTTGCAGCAAATTCTGGTACATAAGGACGCAATGATTCCAATCACAGCGAAAATTAGGGTCGTAACTAAGAACCCCATGTTGGATTTCTCTTCGATCTTGATCCACACAACCACAAAAGTTCAATTTCTGCAATACAAGATTGAAACAAGAAGGAATTCGAACGTGATATAGGGTTTAATAACTTAATTTTGATAAATAAGAAAAAAAATGAAGGCCAAATGTTTCAGCTTAAAAAAATTGAAAATGGAAACCTACCGGCTGTTTGGCTACCGAGAAATGTGGAAAAAAAAAATTAGAGAGAGAAAATATTTGGGATCTTATATTCTATTTTGATTACTCTGGACGCTGTCGTTTGGAGGAAACGTCTAAAGTGTAAACAGTGCATTGTTGAACAGGGCTTTGTGAACCCTCCGATTCTCCCAAGTTTTTTGTTTTTATGTCAAAATGGTCTCAAAATTTTTATTTGAACTCATGTTTTGTATATTTATATTCACTTAAAATTTTTGAGTAAATTGTTACAAAAATTTAATAAAAAAACAAATAGTATAAATGTTTTACTCTATTACACAATTACTGTTAGAGACCAGATGTAACTAAATTTGAAACTAAATACAATTTGTGAATACAAAATTTTAAAGTAATTTTTTTACTCTATTCTAATTAATGTAATTTTAATAATAAAATATTTTTGTTATATTTTTTTTAAATATTAAATACTTTTGCGGGCAAGATTTATATATATATATATATATATATTATTATTTTTTTCTTTTAAAGTTTACCCGTCAAAAATTTTGTTGGCTTAAATTTTTCTTTTTTTTTTTTTTTTTTTTTTGTGTAAAATTAAACTTTGCCCGATTAAAGAGTTTGGCCGGACATGTTAGGTTCGTCGAACAAAATTGGTCAATGAATTTTTGCACGACGAAGGTATCGTTAGAAAATCAGTTTGGCAAAGTACTTTTGCTTGACAGTTTTTTATTTTAGTTTGGCAAAACTTTGCCTGGCGAAGTGTTGTCAGGCAAAATATAAGACGACGAAATGTCATTTTGCCCAACTAATTTCTTTCATATGGAAAAGGTGTTTTTGTTGTTGAAGCGAAAACAAAATACTAAAACTTAAAAATAAAATATCTAAATATACGTGGTCTCTCCTTTATATTTTCTACTGAGCATAATAATGTTGAGAGAAATTTTATTTAAACCCATTAATTCTCCTTTCTAGCCTACTTAACTTTTTTATCCCATGAAATTTCCATGTTGCCATTACATACAATTAATAAAAATGGCAAATTTAGGGACGAACCCATTTTTACTTTATTTCAGTAGAACTACTTAAACTATCTATTAACAAAATTTTCTTTATCAACAAAAAAATATTGAAAAGACCAAATTAACTTTGTCAATAAAACTATTGAAAGTAATAAGAACAAAAGTTATGGTCAATATAGTAAATTACTATTTTTTTTAAAAGCCTTCGGCGGAGGAACGGACGTATTGGGGAAGATTGGGTTTCGACTTGTCAGGCTTCTTTTTTGTGGAGAAAATGAAGGAGATGAGAGGTTAGACGAAAAAAAAAAAAAGAAGAAGAAAATGAGTGAAAGGAAAGAGTGAGTCAAAAAAAAGGGAAAGATTATAAATAAAAACACAATGAAATATTATATTATATTACATTCACATAGTACATTTTTTAGTTATTTAACATCCTCACAATAGTTTTATATTACAACAGTTTTATTTTACAGCAAGCACCAAACTAGCCCTAAACCTGGGGCAATGCTTAAGAAAATCCCGACGGATCCATGGTCCTGCATATTACAAGTATCATGTCAGTAAGTAATAATAATGCTGGAGTTTGACGTGAGGGAGAAGAGGAAGAAGGGAATATCATAGAGTAACAGAGAAAGCTACAAGACCTTGATATGTCCTCCGAACGTCGTTCCTTGTTCAAATTCAACAACCACTCGACTGAATAATTTCATCTTCTTCTACGAATTGACGGATGAGGTCTGAATTGTCAAAGAAGGAGGTCCAGCACTGGGTCATTGATTGCTTTAGCTCCTCCACTTCGTGCTTGTATAAGAGACGAATACCGGTATCCTCGACAGTCAAGCCTGGGCAAGTATGATAAATTCTCGCTAGTACAAGTTTTATGTCCTTGAATTCTGCCAGGCAAATTCGGGGTATGTAAGTCAGCCAGATAAATCCACGGAGATGCAACCACTTGAATTTCTCTTTAGTTGTGGAACAAAAGGGAATAGGGTTCAAGCAATACTCCTCAGTACTTAAGTGACACATAAATTCGACAGTCATTTCTGAACCCCGTTTTTCAAGGGTAGCAGTTGGAAGCTCATGGACTGAAAAAGCAGCACATATCACAAATCCCCTCCAATTATCATCATCATACAGACTCTGAGGTAGTTCCAGTCCGATCTTGGATGACTTACTAGTCTGATTTTTAAACCATTCTAGAATTTGCTTCTGAGGGAAAAAAAAGTTGTATGGTGCGGAAGGATTGAAAAGCTTCAAAACAGATATTGTATGTCCTTTGAGACTGAGAATGGCCTCCTCCCAAATTTGAAGCAACACCACAATACTTTTTTTCCACGCAGCAATATTACAGCTTCCATAGAGTTGATTCTCAGCCATGATGTATAACCGTCTATCCAATGATTCTGAATATCTTTCCGCATCATGTTGTCGGATGGAATCCCTATTTTCCAAAATATAGCGTTTGGAATGGACAAGTATATGGTCAAGTGGTTCCACAAGGACTTGCTTTTGTTCGAGATAGCACATGTAGTAGTGCAATCTTGAAGTGAAATCTTGTTCATGTACTTGTTCTTCAGGACCTGAGTTCAGAAGCAGATCTTGCCAGAACAATTTAGAAAGTTCCCAGATTTCTCTGCATTAATATTCCACAGAAATATTTGTTAGATTGAAAATTAACTTTGTGATGCATGATGACAAATTGTCAGCGCATGAAATTAAGTATAGGGGTTTTATATTTAAACATCACTATCGGCGTTCACCCATCACTTTTCTTTATTAAATTTTTTTAACTGATTAAGACTTCTTGTGCTTTCTTGCCCGAAGTCACACACAGACTTCTTGTGCAAACAACTAAAATTGTGGTATTTAATCCTACGATCCTCATTGAGGCTTCAAAAAGTAGATACAGGAGAAAAAAAAAAAAAAGAGAAATAACAAACACACACCATTTTTAGCCTCTTACAAATCTCAAAAGAACGAAAGAAAAAAAACTCACAAACATGATGCATGATCACATGGACCTAGCAGAACCCCCAAACTCATACTCATGTCTGCTGAGTGCAATCCAAACCCAAATCAGCCCCAATTGTTTCCTCTCATGCTTTTTAGGCCCCAAACTCATACCCATGGAACATGGACAAATGCGCAGAATGATATGTGGGTGTGGATGTGATAGTATTAGAATAGGAGCAATTTTGGGAGAAAAGACGAAAATATCAAGTAAAGTGTGGGGTGAATTAAGATACGAGTGGTGTTTAAATATAAAAAATTCTAACCTGAATTGAGGTGGTGTTTAAATAAAAAATAAAAAAAAATTCTAACCTGAATTGAGGTACTAGTGCTTCACGTTGAACCGTCAAAGCTTCACGAAGTGGACTTTCCACCATGTTTTCAACATATGTTCGTGCCTGCACATAAAGTAGGTCGAGTGGTCCCTTGAATGTGCATTCAGTTGCTAATGCTTTGATTAACTCTTTCAAGTCTTGCTCATATGCCAGACGGCTCCCACACACTTCGACTTCCACGTCTAGGGTACTGGTTCCAAACAAAGCGCAAACACCTTGACATTGATCCAACTCGTGTTGTGAAAAACAAACACGTGGGATGTGCAGAACAACTAGTTGCTTTTGTCCAAGGTTGTGTATTTTGATGCACCTATGCATTATACGACCTTCAGGGGAACACAAATCAACATGGAGCCATGCAGAATGGGGAGGATTGTTGTAATCAGATGAAGACCAGGTAAGGACAACATATAGTTCGAATCCTACCCATCTCCTGTCATCATATAAGTGTTGAGGAAGGTGACAAAGTGCTACGCCTCCAGCATAGTGATGGATGAACCAGCGTGAAATTATAGGATGAGAAAAAATAAAATGAAAATTCTTCTCGCGTCCATTGCATCCCTACACAGTACATATATAATTAAACTTTTAGTGAGAGGGGGAGGGGGAGAGAGGGAGGGAGGGAGATATAGAGAGAGAGAGAAAGAGAAAGAGAGAGAGACCTCATACAGTGCTGAAAGCAACAGCTGTAACTCCCCATTTGACTGCTCGATGTTAGAGTAAGTAGTACTTTGGCTACTGCTGCCTTGATTTGAAGTTGAAGTTGATCCTAGCTCTTGTAGATTAAAGCCAACTACGGTCACCTCACCAGAGCTGTTCAGTTCCCTTGCCCGATCCAATATTCCCTTACAATGTCGACCAAAATTCAAATTCAGATGTCCATTAGCAGATTCTGATAAATCGCGAACAAACGCTGCAGCATCTTTTTGGTATATTAGTTGTAATGTGCACCCTTTTACTTTCAGATCAGGTCTATTTGTTGAAACTGAAGCTTTAAGTAGCCTACTTTCTGTACTCAATTGCCGTTGCCTGCCTCGTGGCTGATAGCAACAAAGTCCATACGACCCCTTTCTGAAAGTATTAAACTTTTGAAGGACTAGAGGATTTTCCAAGGTGCTAAAATGGCAAAAAGTGTCTTTCATTTCCCAACTGTTATCAAAATCTTCCTTCACGAGAAGTTCAAAAACAACAAACAGGGCAAACCCTATCCACGTGCTATCAGATAGTTGGATGGTTACAGAATCCCGACTTGAATGTTTACCACACCAGTCGGGAATTATAGCACTGTGAGGAAAACGCAATTCAAACGACTCTTCACTTTTTATTCGCTCCTGCAAATTTGAAACAGAAAAATCAGACGAAATAAAGACGTAAGTGTGGCTATATGATACAAAATGAGGAAGCTTGCTAGATTGAAAGATCAATGTGGTGAGTGAGTACCTCAATGTACTTAGGAAGGTGTGTTTCAGAATGGTCTTCTGTAATTGGAAGTGGAAAATGGTTATAGTCTTCTTTCTCTTCATTTTCGGAAGGGTTTCCACAATCTATGTGACAGAAACCGCCATCAGCCCGTATTGTCACATTACTTGAATAATTTTTCAACATTGGGCACTCACGAGCATATACATGTGTTATCTTGGATGGAAGAGTTTTTGGTAACAACTCTAGATTTCTGCACCTAAACAAGGAAAGTCGTTTAAGCTCAGGAAGTTGAGAGATGCCTGCTGGTAAGCTCACAAAATTGTTTTCACTCAAATCCAAATACAACAATGAAGATAAGCAGTCAATATCATCAGG